TCAGGTCTGAAAGCCCATTGTACTTTTAAATAATTATTTTGCTTAATTTTATGGATATAGTATTTGATAGAGTCATACGCAATTCTCTATAATGAATTAAAATAAAAAAAAAATGATTACATATAATTATACGGCTGTAACACCAGCGGTCACCCATCCAACTACTAATCACGCTCAATGCTGCTTAACTTTGGTGATATCCGTGCGCCTTGAAGTTCCCGCCTGCTGTGCTGCTATCTTATGTGACAACAATTCTATGAAGTACATAACGTATCAAATAAGTTTATCATAAATATAAGATAAAATTGATTTTATTATATATTTTGATAGTCCTAATTTATTTATTTAACCGAATCTCATTATAACATCACACTTATTTGAATAATAAAATAAGTAAAGATTTTAATGTTAGGCAGGAGCAGAGCAGACCAAAACATTCCATAGGAATTGTAACAAATTTTTTATTCCAAAATTATTTAAACGTAATGATAAAAATAATTTTGCACATTTTGTGATGACCAAGAAAGTTTCTTTCGTCAAAGAAAAAATTTTCATCACATTTCTGACAATGCAGAGGCTATGATAGGCCTGATTAGACATGGACAGGCCTGATCAGACCTGAGTGTATTTAACGCTTCAGGCTTGAACAGGCATGGACAGGCCTGAGCGTATTTACCGCTTCAGAGATGAACAGACATGAACAGGCATGGACAGGTCTGATCAGACATGGACAGGCCTGCTCAGGGCTGAGCGTATTTAACACTTGAGACATGAACAGGTATGGGCAGACATGGACAGGTCTGATCAGGCTTGAGCGAATTTAATACTTCAGACATGAACAGGCATGGACAGGTCTGATCAGACATGGATAGGCCTGCTCAGGCCTGAGCGTATTTAACACTGCAAACATGAACAGGCATGGACAGGTCTGATTAGGCATGGACAGGACTGGTCAGGCCTGAGCATATTAAGCATTTCAGACATGAACAGGCATGAACAGACCTGATCAGGCATGATCATGTCTAATTTCAGGCCTGGTCATACATGAACAGGCCTGATCAGGTATAATTTCAGGCCTGATCATACATGAACAGGCATGGTCAGGTCTGATCATTTTTTCCCGGGGAGGCTGAAGGCTGTCGAGTATCGTGATCGTGAGGCCCGAGATCTGTGACGCAAGGACTCACCCCCAGCCCACGCCATGACTCCCCCCCACCCGACGATGGAGATTGTTAGGAACATTCCGACGCTACCCTTCGTGAGGACCTCGCGCGATGGATCCTAGTACAACGTCACGCAGTAATTAGTATCCCTTAATGATATTGGCTTTCATTAGCTGTCTCATTTCGTAATTATTGTCGGGTTACTGATACTTGTAGTTGTATAAATAAATATGAGTGTTTTATAAAATATATACATTGAGTCTTACATATATTAATTTTTAGATGCAGAAAATTTTGATTTAATAGTTTTAAATAATTAAATAAAGTCAAATTACTTTTCAATCAATATTTTTTAATTTTGAAAAAAATAATGATTTTCTTCAAAATAGTATTCTTGGTTCAAGATTTTTAACTTCCCGCTAAAAATCTCAGATTTTCAAAAATCGGGAAGTTATTGTTTTTACCCCGTTTTGCAAAAATCGAGTTTTCATCAGATCTCGACGTTTGAAGGTTACAGGAAGCTTCCCTGACTACCCCCGCAATGTTGTCACTATGTCTGTATGTATGTATGTATGTATGTTTTTTTTTTTTTCCAAAGAGGTACGAAAAAAGATCTTCAAAAGACACCGCTATCGTTAACCCTGCCGCCCATCTTACGGCAGATATCAATAGTCGGTAGTGTGGAGATTTTTACCCACTAAAAAAAACATTCCTCTTCCCCTCTCCCCTAGATGGTACGGGGAGGACTGGATTGGAACCGCGTTAGCATAACTTTAATCCAGCCGTGCTGCGTCTCACGACGCCTTCCATAAAGCAGTACCGAGTGAACTGCTTCTAGAAGAACTCTTTTCTCTTTTGTTCTTGGTTCCATGGTGTTGGTCATAATTCGTGCTAGGCTAGATACAGTCTTGCTGGCTTTCTTGCATGCACTGTCGAGGTGTTCACGGAAAGATAGTTTCTCGTCTATCATTACCCCTAGATAGCGCAGGGCCCTTGTTGACGTGAGTGTTGTTCCTCCCATGTCCATAGCGAATGGTTTTGGGAACCATTTTTGACGTGTCAAAACGACCGTCTCGGTTTTCTGTTTGGCGAGTTTCAGGTGATGCTTATCAAGCCAAGTTGACGGTGTCGATGGTTTCTCGAACTAGCAGTTCGGCCTCTTCTACGCTGTCCACTACTATAGTGGCTGCAACGTCGTCTGCAAAGTCTGTTAGCTCTACTTGCTCTGGCAACGGGATTTCAAGAAGTTCGTCGTAGTCTGCGTTCCATAGATCAGGCTCCATTATTGAGCCTTGCGGCACGCCAGCCGTTATAGCGTATTCTTGTGGGCCTTCAGTAGTTTCCTCTATTAGCTTTCTATCGTCAAGGTAATTGTCGACTAGTGCTCGATTTTCTGGCTCCGCGTCAAACTTGTGCTCCAGGGCGTCTAAAATATCTCTCCAATTTGCGCTGTTAAATTCGTTTTTGACATCTAGCGTGAGGAGAAGACATACTTTTCGAGCTTTGAGGCAACCAGACCATGCTTGTGTTGCTGTTTTTATGACTTTCTTGATTGCTCCGACTGTCGAATGACCTTTCTGGAAGCCATGCTGGTTCCAGAGTGGTCTGAACGACGAAGGTGTTATGGGGGTTCCCTTGCCTTTGTCTAAGAGAACCAATCTCTGCCGTTTCCAGACCGCGGGAAACGTGCCAGTTGCTAAGCATGCGTTGTAGGTGTTCAGGAGTAAGTCTGGGTATTCCAGGGCTACAATCTTAATCACCGATGCCGGGATGCCATCAGGTCCAGGTGCTTTTCCTGTTTTAAGTGACTTGGCCGCGTCTTGTAGTTCCTTAGTTGAGAAGGGTGTTACTTCGTTGTTTTTAGTGTAGTGTTTCTTCTCCCGCGGCGGGTGTTTGGGGAAAAGCTCCGCTACAATGCTATCCATTAAGGCTGGAGACTTCGGCGCCTCTGGTAAAGCCTTTCCAAGTCGTTTGGCGACAATTTGGTAGGCTTTACCCCAGATGTCATTGTCGAGATCGTTGCAGATCTATTTCCACAACTTTGCTTTACTTGCTTTGATGGCTCGGTTTAGCGTCTTTTTGGCCTGCTTGTACTCTTTTGAATACAAGTCCTGGCTTGGGGAGCGTTTTGCGGCTCTCGTTGCGCGGCGACGTAGTTGATAGCATATTTTGCGAAGTTCTGCTATGTCTGTTGACCACCAATACGCCGGCCTGTGAAAACTCCAGTTTTTCAATCGCGGCATAGAGGCGTCACATGCGGCAGAAATCTCCTTCATCATATTTAGCACTGTCCTTTCTGTCTCGCTGCAAGTATCCGGAGTCGGGTTGTTCTGTAGGGTAGAACAGCTCCGTGCAAGTGAAGCTTGCAGTGCCTCTGGATCGAGCTTCCTGACATTCCACTTCCACTTAAATTGTCGCGTTGTGAAACCGGAGCAAATGCCAATCCGACGCTGAATGTCACGAACTGGTGATCACTGCTACTGTATTCTTCGGATACTACCCAGTCTTCGATCATGTTAGCAGTCCTTGGAGTCGCCAATGAGATGTCGAGGATGGATTCTTGGTACCCTGTTCTTCTAAAGGTTGTTGTGCTCCCGGTGTTCAGCACTATGAGGTCGAGTCCAGCCGCGACGTCAGCGACCTCGTTTCCTCTGGTATCGGAGAAAGCAGCGCCCCACTCAGCTGATTTAGCGTTGAAGTCTCCGGCTACGATAACTTCACCGTCAAACTTAATGATCGCATCTTCTATATTTGACAGTTTCTGTCGGAACACACTAATCCCTTCGTTAGGTGAGAGATAGACGCTCATGAAGTAGGGTGTGGGGGTCTGGATCCAGACAAAACCTGCTCCACTTTCGCTGTTGTTGACGGTAACGTTCTTTGTGTTCA